GCAAAGACAGTGCCTGTGGTCTTCCATCCGATACATTCCTGGTTTCTTCCTGCTGGTGAAACAAAACAGAACAAAAAAAGATACATGAAATGTCAAGTCTGAAGCAGGAAAGTAAAAAGAGCAGCAGACTTTGAAGTGGTGTTGTTATTTACCAGCCCTGCTGCATAGTCTGGTACCAACTGGTCGGATGAAAGGCCACTTTCCACCGCCTGGCCTCCATCTTCTTTCTTCACGTTGTTCTTTAAAGCGCAGGGGCTGGTAGCTGCAGAGTGGACGGCTGGCTTTGTGGCTGCTGCCAACAGAGTAAGCACATGCTGATATCATTATTACTGTCACACCTGACTTACATTCTATGCAAATGTAAGTGCCTATCAAAAGCTAAAGCATCTTAAACTTCTTAAATGTGTTTATTTTTTTAACACTGTTTATTAAGTTGTTAAAATATGCTGATGGATGACTGCTTGTCTTACTGCAGGAAGTGATTGCCTAGCCAGGGAAATGTATTGCTAACATTAAGTGAGGCATTTGTATCATAAACAAACAACTATGTCACCCATCCAGCTACCATCCAAATTCACAACTAAGCATACGTCTTGCACATGAAGCAATATTTGAGAGCCCCATAATACCGGGTGTGCACATTAGACAGTCTCTAGCCGTGTGAATACCTTTGTCTCTCTGCATTCCTGGGTGCTGGCGCTCCGTTGGGCACACAGCAGAATGATAGGCCCAGTCATTGTGTGTGAGGGCCCTGGGGCTGGGGGGGGGCAAGGAGCTGGGCCTCTCACCAGCCTTCTGTACAGAGGCACTGTCCAGGCCGGAGACGGGTCCACAGCCGGGGCCAGGCCGAGTGCCAGAGGGGGAGCAGGGGGCCGAGGTGGCACGCACAGGGGCACAGCGCACGCTGGTATCTGCCTCAGGGCGGCCAGGAGAGGGTCCGTCCTGTCCATCCCGGCTCTCATCAGCCCCCTCCTCGTCTGCATTACTGTCCGTGTCCATTGCCATTGAAGTGTCAGCCTAGCAGCAGAAGTGCAACATATGATTTTCATTCCGTTGTATTTATAATCTATATAACAAAAACACCATCAAAAACCTAAATAATTACAAGTCAGGCATGACTGATTGTCTCCATTGATTCAATCAAAGACTAACAGCTTGAGGGGATTAGAAAACATTAACCCAGTGAGAGAAAAGACACTCAACAATTAATTCATTATTTTGACAACAACTTAAAAAGCTGGTGAAGCCTGTGCCTGAGCACTAATTGTAGGCTGCGAATGTCACATGAAAACACCATACATATGTCGCAATGTGACCGCTCTGGTGAATGATTGCCCCTGAAGGCTCTCCGCGGTGCAGTGTTCACTCCGCAGACTGACTGTCCTTCAACCGCAAACGCGTTTCTACGCAATTAAACATTTGGATGTGTAGGTGTCTGGTTGCATACAAGTAGTTTTTAACATACGCACTCATTCCTTTCGTTATGTGGGAGGGGAGGGGGGGGGGGGGTTTGTCGACGGCGCCCTGAGTAAGAAAAAAAAAATACCTTGTTTGCGACTGCGTGTCCAAGACCCAGCAGTCGAGCACAAGAGCGCACTAAAGCCCGCCCCGCTCCTGAGAAAAGAGCCGCTTGTATGGCGTTCACCCATCGCACTGCATTTCACATAACTTTCACGGAGACACGGTCACAAAAGCACATCATGCCCCCCCGTAGGATCTTAACCCAGCACGATTTTCATCCTGGCTCATATGAAACCAGGCGATATATGCTCAGTGCGTTCCGATCTTTAGAGGCCTACTTGATTGATTATTCTAACACAAGGAGTAGATAAAGAGCCGATGGGAGGCGTTATAGGTTTTTCTCAAATTTCCTCCAAAGTGCGCATGGAGTTACGAGCCGCGGTAAAAACCTCGCCATTGTGTCCGAGGTCTTTAACGGAGCGCTCCCCGGGGGCCGAGCCACGGCAAAGCACACCGGAGGAAGAACACGAGCTTTAACTCGACGGGCAGCGAGCATCAACCGCCTCGTTTACCAAGCACTTTGACTTTGCACCGGGTCAACGATTTACAGTAGAGTAAAGGAGTCTGTTATCGGACACGTCACTGTCTACATCTCACCCTCGTATTCAAGTAAATTCTGCATTACAAGCCCCGAGTAGCAGCCTGTTTTAAAGTAATCGTACTCGTTTTTGGTAGCGACGCACACGCCTTTTTAGAGAACAAAGTCAATTTGATCTCAGCTTAACCCAAATCGGATCCGCTCTACATCGCTGCTGGACGAACAGTTTGCGGTCGCTTCACGTTAGTTCAGGTCCCAACAGTGTGACCGGCTCCTACGTGTATCATTACTTTGCAGTGATGTGGCTCGTCTTAAATATGCTCAGCAACATCGTTTCTAGACACTGAGAAGTGATGCCATTGTGTGCGGGACGAGAGAGGCCATAAAAACATCCAGCACCAAGCATTAGACATGACCGGGCTGGGCTGCGTGTCCGACAGTGGATCTAGGGGTTCGACTTTATGCACTGGCAGCACTGCGTCTGCAATCGTGCATTACTTGAAATACAGCCACAATGTGCATTCATAAACATACAATAGCTGTATAGTGAGTACTTTGACAATGATAATATTAGACTGTGTTGCTGTTCTACGGGGCAAAACATAGTGATGGGCATATTTTAAAGTCCAGACGGTAGGGGTGATTTCGTCACGGGCAGACATGGCAAGGATATGGCTCTGGTGACATTTGATGTTTTGCATGGAATGGATGTCCTCGTCAACAACCATACAATGTCCCAGCGTCCCCCATCAGGTTCCTACATCCGCGGTGTTTGAGACTTTTTTCCTTCTCTCACTCCCACATACTAAGGTGGTAATAATGAAAAACTGTATTTCCTGCCCAGGCTTCCAAAATAAAAGCCTCACTAGCAAGCACATGATTTGACGCTCTTGTTTTGAAGGCGAATGTTTACAACTTCCGGGGTGCGTCTGCTACTCTCTCGCTAGCTTGGCAGAGTCCTCCTCCCCTTCGCTCAACGCCGAGTTTGGGGCTCGAAAAGCGCTTTCTGCTGCCGATAATGGTGGCTCGGGTTGTTGCAGACGGGCAGGACGGTGCAACTTTTCTTGTCTACAAATTACACTTCTGACCCGCCCGTTAAAAGTGCTTTTCCGCTTAACAATGCTACACTCTCACGATAAGCGCACCTTCTGTTGTCTTGTTCTCTCGTCTCCACCTCGGCAGCGCTCGAACCGCCGCTCCCCGTCTGCGGCAGTTTTGGGTGCACTTGCAAATCACTCCCCTCACCACTCCCCGTGTAGACACAAACATACGTGTTTTTCTCGCCAAACCAAACAATATATGTGCCTAGGTTTTTTCTTCCACCTGTTAATTTGATATGACAATGAGATGCGAGCTCGTGCCTCCTCGCATCAACCTCCACGTACCTCCAAATCCTCCTCGTCCTGGTCCACGGGACCGAAAGCGCTGTCCCCGTTGCTCAGGTCAGAATGACTGGCTTCTTCCACCGCGCTCCTTCTCGCAGTCGTGGTTACATCGTCTTTTTTTCTGCTTCTTCGCTGAACCTTGGCGGCGTTCCGGTATGAAATAGAGCCCTTGTAATTAACTTTGAGCACGGTTTGTTCCTGAATCAGTTTCTCCAGTTCTGCACAGGTTCGGTCGGGCTCGGACCCGTGTCGTCTCCGGACCATTCGGCAAATCCTCTCCAAGTCCGGCCGGGCTTTTCGCGACCGTAGCGAGTCGATAGTGTCCAGGATCCACTTGCGGTACTCGGCTTCAGACATCTTTTTTGTGCTCGGTTGGTTCGCTTGCTTCTTGCTTTTTTTCTTACCTTAGTGCGTCAACCTTCTACGTTACACACGGTGTTTTTCGTGAGCCGCGGTCCGAGCCCAACTGAGAAGCGGAAACCTCGCTGTACGCCTCCTGCGTTTGCGTGTGCGCTTAAGGTGGACCGACAGAGTTGCAGGGAAAAGTTTCACTCTTGAGGGGCTTTAAGGTGGAATAGCTGTCCTGGACGAGGACGAGCGCGCGTACCCGGATACATGTGCGCCATAAAGGGTGCAAAAGGTGGCCATTTATTTCAAGAGTTAGAAAGTGTGGTAACGCCTTTGAAGTAGTGACTGAAGGTGGGGCACATGTGGTCCATCTCTTTCACGTAGAGCTTCGCAAAATCGGGTTAAAGAGCCAGAGGCGTGTGCGCTGGTGTTTTGGGCTCCATGTGTTGCCCTACTCTAGATCAAGCTGTGGAGGTAGACAATAAAATATGTTCATAAAAGCCAACACCTTAATTAATCAGTATATATCGGCATATATATATATATATATATATATATATATATATATATAATAATGCATTTTTATTATGAAATACAATAAGTGATTGAATACAAAATTGTAAATATTTTAGATTTTTTGATTGAAACTGATTTTTTTTTACAGTAAAAGCCGTTTCAAGATTAGTTTATGATTTACCTTAGTCATTTTTATAAACACGTAGGTCTCTGGTCAATAACTGGATAATGCATATCAAATATATGTATCCTATTATACTCTCAAAATCACTTTTCATTATTGTTTGTTGTCTACAATAATGAGGTGGCTTTAATATTTTCAAATTCTTGCTCTTTAACATGTATATCTCAAATGTCCCATTTGTGAATCCTGAATAGGAGAACCCTGAAGGTGGGAATACATTTTGAGTGTTGCTGAAAGCTAGTAATTGATCCCATAATGTGACAGGATGAACACAACTACATTATTCAATTGCAGCTGCCAGCCTCCCAACACATTGACCATGAAAGACAATACAGTTGTTCCCCCCCCCTACTAATAAGTATGTTCTTCTGATCCGGTGAGCAGCCTGAAGCTGCGAGTACCTTCCTTGACATACTGGATGTAAAAAAATACAACTTTAAAATGTGACAATCCTAAATCAGTGTGACATTGTGTATGGTGAAGAGAGCTTACATATAACCCAGACATATTAGTCTTAACAAGTAAAAGTTTATTGGAATGATACATTTTGCAAAATATTACTTTATGTATATTTTTTTTAACATACTCATTGTGTTCTAAGGGTATCTGTCAAGTTCTCCAGAGGGTAAGATAGTTAAGACTGTCGAAGGCAAGGATATACAGTATTGTTTCCCAAAAGGTACAATAGACTACACAATCACTGTACCCAGGTCATGAGGAAAAGATTAATGTTCTGTTTTTGCTTTTTTTGCTTCTTTTTTTTGAAAATACAATTAGAAAATATGAACGCAAAACATCTCAGATGTAAAAAGTGTTATGTTTGAATGAAGAGTGTGGAAACTTGATGAAATTAGAAGGCAAACACAGGAGAAAAAACCTAAAATTAGCACAGAGCAGTTGATAGTGTTCAGCTGATAAAAGATAATTAAAGACAATCCACAAGAAGTTTTGTATGGGAAACAAAAAGTATGCATTGTGATGGCCTCAGTGTCTGAAGTGGATCGAATGGCTTTGCCTTCCACCCACCAACTCTGATTTAGTCATTTGTCAGAACATAAAGATATTACATGTGCTCTCTTCAAAGCATTAAATAGTGTCTTAAAAGTTTCAAATAATTAGCACAAATCAATTAAATAGGAGATTTGAAAGGATGTGGCATGTGCTTCAGTATTTGCAAAGGACTGGACAAGTTGGTTGGTGATCCACTGCATTGTTCAATGTGACGCTCAAAGAAATGGGTAAACAGTGATGAGACTGTCGGCAGTGGAAACAATGATACTCAAATACGTTCCAGGTCCAGGAGATGTCTTGTCGTTGGGTTGCTTTACCACATGCAAGAAAAACCAAGCTGACTGGAGAAACATGTATTATAAAAAATACACATCATGTTTCCAAACAGTGTTGAACCATCTCCATCAAGACATTCAAAAAAATATATCCTGTGTTTGATCTCAATTACATTAAGAGACAGCCAAAATAATAACTCAAGCCTACTGAAATCATTTAGAGTTGAAAAACATTCTCAAAAAAATGTCATGTTACAAGACTTTATGACAAATTGATGCACATCTAACAATTCACAGAAGCTTTTCAGTGAGATGGACAAAGTCTAGCACCTAGGGCCTATGGAGGGGGAGGAGGGGCGAAAGCAAACATCCTTCATCAAAACCAAGTGTTCAGTCAACAAACCAGCAATTAGATTGGTCTGCGATTGTCTTGCATCCACAGAAATAAACTTGGCAAAAGGGGACAGCTTTAGGAGAGCTTCCTTAGTTTAATTTGTTACATAGAAAGCTGGAAAACTGAAACAAAACACTCCAATCTCATCAGTCCCAAAATGTTTGGTTGGACTGCAAATCTATCTGAAGGTGTTACATGTAGGGTATATACAAGATAAAAGGGAGGAAGGAAAAATCATAATTATCAAGGTGAGAAGCCTAGAAGAACTTTCTGACACATTGGACTTGGTCTTGTTCCATCTTTAAAATCGAGCTCCTGAGAGTCCATTTAATAGTTAAGCATGTTATCCATGAGCTCGTGTACCTCAGCACAAAACCATAATGCTATCTCTCTTTAAAAGTGATATTGTACAAAAATAACATGCACATTTTGTTGAAACGTTTTGCTACTTTTTTTGCGTATTAAAATCCACCACCGTCGTAGTTACATACAGAACACTTTGCAATGTTCTCAGTTTGCAAATTTGGCAGAATTTATATTTGTTTATTTATGAAATCTTAATTTCAGTTTCACAGCTATGAGACAATGTTGAAAAAGATGGATAGTTCATGTACTCTATTATATATATATCATACATATATATCATATATATTATATATATATATCATAAATCAAATGTACTATGAATTAAATAAACAATAGTCAGGAGTGTGACCACAATGTTAGTTGCTGCTAAATCACAGCTTTTTAACCCACCCTTGAGCACTAAATAACACACAAGCACAGAGATTGACAGAAGGACACATGATCACCAATAGGATTCTTAAAATGCTCTAATAAATTCAGCTAAGAGAAAGACAGACTTAAATGCAAACCTCATGTTTACCATTTCTCACAGGTCCCCAAAAGGAGTAAGACCTAGATGAAGTTTACTGTGATAAATCATTCTCACTCCGATCAAAGAGGTCACCGCTGCTTCAACTGCGAGCAGTGAGCGCATCATCCACCCAATAATCATGCCATATCTAGCAGACAAAGGCAGGTGCAGAGAGTTTTCAAGCTTTAAACCAAACGGGCACAAGGGCTGATGCCACCGTAGCCAAAGCTCTGCACCAGTGCTTTCGACAAAGTTTTCCAACCAGTTGGCATTATGATAGGCACATCTGTTGGACTTGGTATTGCTTGGACAGATTCAGGATGGAGGGATGGAGGGGGGGGGGGGAACCAGGGTGACAAGATACAACAATTACTCTTTGAGAAGCTTGTAGAGAGGGTCCATTCGAAAAAAAAAAAGAGCCTAGCAGATTCAGTACCTAAAAGAAAATCAATGCCTCAACCTGCAAAGACTGAAAACATGTCATTACACCGTCAGAAAGATACACGTACAGCTGGACAGCCACTACCTATACCTGTTCTCTTCCAGCCCGTCACAAACACAAGAGGGATAAATAAAATCAATAGGTAACAGTTGAGAAACAATCAGAAAAGGCAACACTGCTGGTTCTGTTGGATCTTTCTTCACTTTGCCTACCTTTCCATTGGGGAAGGGGGGGTTTTACATTGTTGTCGTCATTACAAATAAGCAAGTTAGCAGTCCACCCTAGCGCTTCTTTCCTTCAGACCCCATTTTACTTTCTAAAATCTCTCTCTCTCTCTCTCTCTCTCTCTGCTTCTCATGGATGGAATCTAGAACTCGGCAAACTCCTTTGCACACTTCTCTGTGAAGGAGACTCTGATTTCCTCTTCCTCGTAGTCGTCAAAGTTGCTCGTGTCACCGGGGCCTTTGCACTTAGGAATAAAGGGAGCTTCCACCTGAAACAAAAGGACAATGAAATAATCAGAATGATGCAGAATTGACTAATAGAGAGAACCAGAGCCATGGCAGAGAGTGCTATATACAAGCAATCTGGGGAGGCTGCTTTGTGTCTTTATTGGATCTTAGAACAGCAAACTCCATTGGATTTTTTAGAAGTAAATTAAAAGACCTATCTTTTTAATGTGGCTATTCATGTAGGGTACTTTTAGTGGCATCACTGTTTATGTTTTATGGTTCTGTGATATAACTCTTTCAGTTTGTTTATCACTTGTTTTTAAATTATGTTACTCTCAAATCTTTATGTTCTATCTTGTCTTACTCTGTAAAGCACTTTGGGCTGCACCTTGCATGAAAGGTGTATTATTAGGGTCTGAGACCTGAGGTCGGCGAAGACCCTATTGAAATCGGTCGCGTATCACGGAAATGTTTTTCTTTCGCACGGCGTAGCCGTGATTTGGCGCCAAAGTTCGCGTTCGCTCGATGCTAGGCGATCCCTCGCCATGGAACACGATGATGTCATAACGCCAACTGACATACTCAGAACGCCACCAAACTTCACATGATGGTTAACACTGCGGCCCTGAACAGCTCTAGGTCAAATCTGATGTTACTTAATGTGGCGTTACCATCGCAACGGATCATTCGCCAGTAAACACGATGTCACTGTAACTCCAATGGACACGGTCCCATCGTTCCCCAATCTTCACTTTTATATCACCGGTCCATGCCTCAACAGCTCTACATGAAATCTGAGATCTCACTATATGTCGTTTCCATGACAACGCATCCTTCGCCAAAAAATACGATGTTGTTGTAATTCAATGGAAAATCGTCCAAACAGCACCAGACTACAGACTATCATTAATGGTCCGGCCCTCAACAGCTCTATGTCAATTAGGGGATGTCATCATATGCCGTTGCCATGGCGACAGATCCCTCGCCATGAAACATGGTGTTTTCGTAATTCAATGGGAAATCGTCCAAACGGCACCAGACTTCATATGATGGCTAATGGTCCGGCCCTCAACAGCTCTAAGCCAATTATGGGATGTCGTCATATGCCGTTTCCATGGCAACGCATCCCTCGCCCTAAAACACAGTGTTGTCTTAAGTCAATGGAAAATGGTCCAAACTGCACCGGACTTCAGATGACAGTTAGTGGTCCGGCCCTCAACACCTCAATTCCCTCGCCGTTAAGCACGATATTGCTATAACTCCTGTGTAAATGGTAAAAAAGTGTTCAAATTTCACTTGTGCTAACCGTCAAGCCCTCGAGACATATATGTGTCAGTTTTGAGATTTCGTCAAATATCGTTGCTATGGTAACACAATGCTCGCCGTGAAACACGGTTTTCTCATAACTCCAGTTAACATGCTCCAAACAGCACAAAACTTCACAGGTTTGATAACGATACAGCCCTCAACACATCTAGGCGTATTATGGGGTATCATCAAATGCCGTTGCCATGGCGACAGATCACTCGCCATGAAACACGGTTCTCATAACTCCAGTTAACATGCTCCAAACTTCACAGGTTGCATAACGATGCAGCCCTCAACACATCTAGGCGTATTATGGGGTGTCATCAAATGACGTTGCCATGGCAACAGATCACCCGCCATCAAATACAATGACATTGTCCGATCACCCTTAAACTTCCCACGTTTGCCAACGGCTGAGTCCTCGAGACACCTAGACACAAACGTCGACGTGCGGACAACAGCCTGCAGAGCGTCGAAGACCCGCTCAACGCTGCTTGCAGCTTTAATTATTATTATTATTATATAGAACTGGATGACATAGGTTCCAGTAGATTGAGACATTTACAAATAGATAAATATTCATGTATAGTCATACATAGTTCTAACTTTTAACTAAGTAAAGTACCTTCCAATAATAATGTTACTAAAGTGCTTTACATACAATAAAACCCAAAAGTAGCAACGATAAAAAAAAAAAATATATTCAGGTATATTGGGGACGGGTGGCGCAGTGGTCTGTGCATCCGATCATCAGATCAAGGGGGAGTGCTGGGGAACTCCAGTTCGAAACCCGCTCCTGCCGCCACTGCGTCAGGCCGTTGTGTCCTTGGGCAAGACACTTCACCCGGATTTGCTCCTGTGGGTATTGTCCACAGTACATGTATAATACCAATGTGTACTTGTAAAAGCGCCTCGATGACCTCGAGGCGTGAAGATGGACGGTGTGGCGCAGTGCGCTGTGCAATGATCATCAGATCAAGGGGTGAAACCCGCCGCTGCTGCGTCTATAAAGCCGGTGTGTCCTTGGGCAAGACACTTCACCTGAACTTGCTCCTGTGGGTATTGTCCACAGTATCTGACCATTGCATGTATAATATATGTGTAATGTGTGTATATGTAAAAGCAGTCATTGAAAAAGCGCTATAATAAATGTAAGGAATTATTATTATTATTAGGTAAACAATATACAACCAAACAAACAGGGATACAGAAGAGATCAAAACTTTCAGTCAATCCCATAAAATGAATTCATAAAAATAGTAGCAAATGCAGGAAAAATACAAACAAATATTGGTTTTATTAGTCTAATCTTAAATTAGAGTAAAGTGCATTGTGCATTTCATTGAATACTTGAGAGGAATAGCAGGACAGCATGTTTGATCATGTGTTGTCATTTACTTGTCTGAAGCCAACTCAATTAGTTGCGGTTATCTTCCCAGACAAAAATAATTAAATGTTTTACAGTAAATCACATTCTCAAAGTGTGTATTGTTATGTGTAAGTAATGTATTCATAATTAATGTATGTATGTTTGTATATAGTCTGTACTAGTATACAATTCTAACCTTTGTTTGCCCACTGTCGGTTCTCATTACATGCCTGACTGCACTGGAGGGGGTCCCTCTGTGTTTCCGCTAGTTTCCTGATGAGTCCAAGGCTAAGAAGGGCTCATTTCATCCTGTTCTTTATTCACTAAGTGACCCTCGTGAAATCATCCGACAACCGCGATGGACCCTTTTTATATGAACAAACCTACGTTTATGTGGACCAAATCATCTGGTTCTGTGTGTTTACTGATTTTAAAGTCAAATGGTTAAAGACTTGGTTCCACTTCTGGTATGTTGTGGAAATGCTGTGGTAATCCTATACATTTGGAAGTTTAAAGTAAAGAAACTACTAGTACACATGCTTTGGGTGTTTTAGACATTTTCCCCCAAAAGCAAAGAATTGATGGTGTTAAATGTCCAGTAGCTACAGACTTAGGTCACCTCTGACCGAAACCCCTTAAAGCAATCGTTCCTTGTTACTTTGGGAGGTGGGCTGTATTTGTACACAGTACTGCTGTATAATCATCATCATCTTTATTTAAAGAGACTCTTGGTCCATTATTACAAAAACATACAACACTCAAATAATGGCTGGCCTTCTCACCTTCCTCTGGTAGATGGCGATCCAATCGGTGGTGGCAAACCACTTGTGGCCCTTGATATCGTTGACTCCATTCCTGAGGTTGCCAAAGCGCTTGGTAAGGTCCACCTGCAGCAAATTTCTCAACAGATCCTTCAGATCTGAGCTGAAGTGGGAGGGAAAGCGAACCTGAAAGCAGTGAAGAGAAGAGAACAGTGTGAAGGTGTGCTACGTTTTATAATACATGCTGTAGGACAGGGGTGTCCAACCACTTTTCACTGTGGGCCACATAAATAACAATATTTGAAGGAATGGGCCACTCAGCTAGGTTAGGTTTATTGCCTCATAGGTTAGGTTATACATTAGCACAAATCAATCAAATGTAAGTCAATTATGCTTGATCCTTGAATATGCTTTAAGACAGGAAATTGCCTACATCACAGCTTTCCATAGGGTTTAATTTATTTTGTTACAAAAAGTGTTTGCAGCTCATCTATTAAAACAGAAGTCTCATATTGCTTTTAATAAGGGGAAATATGAAAGATATATTTAAAGTTTGTTAATCAAATACTTCAAGTAAGATTAGTTTGGAAAGGTTTTCAACTTTATTTGACTGATTTCATTTGAAAAGTGGGCTTATTAACACATGAATACCGTGTTATATATGTTTTCATATATATTTAAGAAGTACACAATATAAGACAAGCACAAGTTTCACGTGTGGGCCATACTCCATTATACTTTTTTAATTTGCTGAGGGCCAATTCAAAATGGACAACGGCTGTAGTTTGGACACCGCTGCTGTAGGACATTGGTGTATGTAGTGTACCCAATACTAAAACTGTGACAAATTGCGGTTGAACATGTGCTGTGAGGTCATCAGGACATTTGATATACGTTTTTCCCCACAGACAAACAACCAGGTGATTTGTAATATAAACTAACATTTATCAGAAACGTTATGCTTTCATGTTGTGTATCCTTACAATGTATTTACAATTTAGCTGCAAATGTTTAACACAGTCACCACGATCCTCTTCATATAAGTAAAGATTGATGCACTGTGAAAATATCATCACTGAAAAATGGTTTGCACAGCTAACGAATCATGGACCTTTGGTTTTAAACCCCCACCTCTGGCTTCTCTCAACTCACCTTCCCTGATACAATCTTCTCGTAAATCTGAATAGGCTGGTCAGCAAAGAAGGGAGGGTAACCGGCAGCCATCTCATATATCAGCACTCCCAGAGCCCACCAGTCCACGGCTTTATTGTAACCCTGGAAAACACACAGGAGATAAAGGGTGTTCAGATGTGTCCTCAAACATAAACTCCCACATATTAAAGGTCCCCTAATACACTGTTTTTCATCAACATATTATAGGTCTCAGATATATACAAAACATGTCTCTGAAGTGTTTGGCTCGAAATACCCAACAGATCACTCATTGTAGCATCCCACAATCCCCTCTGTTTCAGACCTGTTTCAGAAGTGCTGATTCTGGGTCTGTTACTTTAGAATGGTTACACAAACCCAAAAAATCGTTATGACATCATAAAGTGGCCAAAATCTGATCAGCTCATTTTCAGACAGATTTGTATATAAATGGATCAGGACAAAAAGAGAGGGGGTCTTTTTTCCTGAAACTTTCAGAATCTCTTTACACAGAGGGGACACATGTTTATGTATCAAAGACTTGAAGAAGTGGATTTTGCACAATAGGTGACCTTTAAAGCAGAGGTGGGGACTCGAGTCACATGACTTGACTCGAGTCAGACTCGAGTCGCATATTTTTTGACTTGAGACTTGCTTGACTAACATTGACACACTTGACTGTTTAAAATTAAATATTTGCGTTTGTTTTTTGTAGTGAGATATTACGTTTAGTTTTTCCGAAAAATGTGATTGGTTGATAGAAGGCAGGAGTGTCAGTTAACATGGCAGCGGCTAGCGTTACTCCAAAAATAGTGATGTTTGGATTCAAGGATTATGTTGTCGATGACAGTAATAAGAAGAGAACAGCGGTATGCAGGGTCTGCAGCATAAAGATCAGTGACACGACCACCACAACATCCAACTTCATTCGTCACTACAAAAAAACCCACAGAGAAAGGTGCGTGCATGTGTTGTGTTAGCTAGAAAGCTAACGTTAAGTTTAAGCTACGTTAGACTTGGTTTCAAATCGATTAAGCATTGCAAAGAGAAGACAACACGGTAAATGAACACTAGAACCGCCAAGGGATTCATTTTGACTAACCCTGATACTGACGGGCTGCCAGGAGAGGGAGAGAGAGAGAGGAAAAGAGATGCCTCGTTTATTTCCCCTGTGTTATTATCAGAAGTTACTGTAAACTTTTGAATAATGTAGTTCATCTACTTTTAGTAGTTTGTTTAAATGTTTGAATTATGTTGTTTTTGTTTGTAGAAGTGCATCATTCCTTGATTTATTGTAAAATGAATCTGAACTTTTTGATCTGTTATGATGATAAACTGAAGCAATTTCTAAATTAACCCAATTAAGTGAGTTTTAAATCGTCCTACTTAAAGGAAATTATGAAGAGGAACAAGTTAAATGATTTGAAAATGATATCTATGTAGGTGCTGACGCTGTTGGCGGTTCTAGTTTTAACAGACATTTAAATTAAATATGTGTAATGGCAAATGCCATATATGATTTTCTTACCTTTTTGAACAGACTTTTTGAGTCCTAGCTATATTGTCTGCAGTTCTTGGGTTAATATGAATCTAATATGATTGTCATCGGTCTAAATTAGATTTCAAATGATTAACTGTGTATGTAATGAAGATCATAGTGTGGGTTAAATCCATTTTCATAACCACTGTCTTTTAACTGATGCGGAAATGTGGAAACTGGGCTTATTCATCAGAATTTCGTATGACTTGACTTGCTTGACTTTCACCACAGTGACTTGGGACTTGCTTGATACTTGTAGGTCAAGACTTGAGACTTGCTCATGACTTGCACATGTAGGACTTACTCCCACCTCTGCTTTAAAGTGTCGACAATAGCCATCACGCTGAGGAACCATAGGCAAAAAGCTGGGGACAACAAAATGGTTTCCTAACGTATATGTGGAGAACGTCCCTGCCCTTGTGACATGGAAAGAAAGTGGCCGAGCCGAGCACTCACTTTACTGAGGATGATCTCCGGTGCCAGGTACTCTGGGGTCCCACAAAGCGTCCAGGTTCGGCCCTTCACCCTTTTTGCAAATCCAAAATCTGTTACCTGGGTACAGAAAGCACAGCTGTGAGCATGAGACAGATCAAACGTAACTATTGTTGAGGATCAGAAAACAGACATGCACTCCTTGCCTGTATGTAGCCTTGCTGGTCAATGAGCAGGTTCTCAGGTTTAAGGTCTCGGTAGATGAGATCCAGCGAGTGAAGGTATTCAAAGGTCAGTACAATCTGGGCTGCGTAGAAGCGCGCGTGCGGTTCACTGCAAAACACATCAGGGGTGCGATATTTACAGCGAACCAGTGATATGATTAAATATTTCAGTAGCCTAAAAGCAAAGAAAAACAGACTCAAAGACAGTTTCTTCCCCAGAGCAATCATGGCACTGAACTCTTGCACTATTACCACCCCTCTGCAATAACCCATACATCTGCAATATTATACACACACACACATTTATTATGCTATACTAATTGAATTATTTACTGCGCTTTACTTTGTTAATATTTTATGTATGTATGAATGCTGCCTATCTCTGTGTATGTTGTCTTTTCTGAATGTTTTGATGGCACCTTCAAAGGAGTAGCTTTACTCTTCTCGGTGTACTTGTATATTGACAATAAATGCTTCCATTCTATTCTAAAAACAGTTATTATTTTGTTAACAAAAACTGAGCACATGTTTGTCAGCGTTTCGCGTAAGACAAGATGGCACTGACATCATTAAACACCTAATGTGACGTGCAATTATGTTTAGTGGGAAATAAATGACCTAAGTGTAGATTAATAAATAACAACGTCATCAAAATCCCTTTTTATTTTAATTAACAAAGAACAGGTTAAAATATGTTTCCTGTGATGCATGCGCCTTAGGAGGATAAGACTAACTTGATAAGTTACGACAACATTTCATTTTTCTGAGAAAGAAACAAGGAAACATTTTCGCAGGACTAGAAGACTATAGCAGTAGTCATTAACAAAAACTATCCTCAAATAGTTGATAAATGCTGACAAAAATCAACTCACCTGAATCTACCGATTCTCCTTAAGTGCGAGAACATTTCTCCACCGGGTACATACTCCATTATCATATAGAGATTACTGTTGTCCTGTAGAAAGATCAGAACAATTTTAGCTCCAAATGCAAAACGTACATGCAAATATAATGTGCTCATTCATAGTAGATAACCAGATAAAGTGTTTAATACATACCTTAAAAGAGTGCTCCAGTCGCACCAGAAAGGGGAAGCTGACGGCTTGCAGGATGCGTTTCTCGTTCAGTGTGTGTTCTATCTGCTTCAGCTTCACTACCTACAGGGAACAGGATGGAGGCTCATTTAAAAAATAGGGTGGAAAAGGTCTCATTCCACACCATTATACAAACAAAAAAGATGATAACTTCTTGTGAAATAGTACTTCATGTTATTTGTATGTGCTAAAATGACCAAACTAGCATAAAACAATGAATCTCTCCAACGCCAGGTTTGATCCATGTCAGACATGAACGCTTATATAAACAAGCCAGGAAGTCTTTCAGGGAAAACACACTGGAGAGAACGTTCACGGCACTGTAGGACATTTTAACTTTGACAACAAAGTGAGCTTTATGCCTCGAGATCAAAGAAACACTTGGAGAGCTAAAAAAAAAATATTTGATATTGTCCCAGTCATGAAGCAGCTAGCCAACGTGGCGTCGCACATTAAAAATAACTGAGACAATAACCCTGGTGATGTCTTTCGGTTAGGTTTCTTCGATACACTTCTGACTACAAAGTCTCCAGGCTGTCAGTGCTTATAGATTATAATTGGCTCTGTGCTCAGTAAGTGTCTTCTAAATGTATATCCAAGCCTTGGTACACTTACCTATACAATATCTACATAGAGACATTGCCCTCATATCAGAAATACAAGCTGGAGCATGTGAAGCATTTACATTTATTTACCAGGAAGTTTCTCTATGCCTAAAAGTTATTTACCTTCTGTTTGTCAAGTATCTTCATGGCAAAATGCTGGCCCGACTCTTTGTGTTTCACCAGCATGACTCGACCAAACGACCCGGTGCCTAAGGTCTTCAAACGCTCAAATTGGTCCAATGCCGCAGTTTGCTGAGGGGTGGGAGAGATGGCAAGAAGAGGAAAGGGTGAATAACAACATTACAGCGACATACTGGGGAAAGCCTGACTTCAGTTTCATGATACCTTCTATCAAATAAACATAATGTCAGTAAAACGTTTTAAAGTTATTTAGAAATGTTTGAATTTATTTGGATTCTACATTAGAGTTGATATATCATACTAAAAACATAAATATATGTATTTCACATTAGCCCAGCAGAGGGTGCACTGCCCCTCCGAAATAAATAGGACTCATTCTGTTCATGAGCGGGACTATTTTCACGAGTCTGAGAGTGAACTAGTCTGTGAAAAGTTGATAAGATGCATAATCACAACATACAAACGTAATTAGCAAAAGTACAATACCACTGCAAAATAACAAGATTTACATCATCTAAAAGAGAAGTAATTCTCTTTCACTCTCACCTGTGCTGGGTTCTCCCATTTCTTCAGGAAATCTTCTTTGGCTTTGGCAAGAAACTCCTTCACTGTAATTAAATACACATGTGCATATTCATTATAGAGAGCGTATGTGTCTACAATAGGTCACCAGACATAATCACCAAGACCCGGAGAAGACCACAATGTTGTTGTTCTTACAATATAAGTGCGAGGCCCTCGGGAGATGTTCCGACACACCTGTATGTGCAAGCTCAATCTGGTGGTGAATCAATCTACTTGCTAAACCCACAATGTATGAGGACACAGGAAGTTCCAAACAAAATCATTTGGTCCCCTGCAGTACCAATCAGTGGAGGGGTGCATCACATTTCTAATGCACTGCCAATCCATTTCTTTTAAATGAATGACCTTGCTGTACTCTGAGGGATAAATAATGACACAGCTTTAAATATTAATGATGCAAAGTATACTCCAAAAACCGTCAGCAAAACAGGTCTATTATCTATCTACTAGAGGACAATTACGACTCTGAAGAAGCTACAGGGAGTCGAGACGCAAGGCGTACAACAACAGTTGCTTCTGGAGTCTCAGCTTCACTGGAGAGCGGCCAAAAGAAAGTGGCGCGTGATATCTCAGCTAATGTTAGCCAGGAGGCATGTTGGAGACAGGAGGAAGGTTCAATGGGCTGCACAGGAAAGACTAAAACAAGCAAGGAGGGACGGTGCCGGAGTCAAAACCTCATTCCTATCAAGAGTTTGGGACGTTACTTTAATATTGCTTATCATTTGAGGTGCCAATACAGCTTGACACAACTGAGCAGTTTTCCAAAAACAACCTTGGACATAAGCTGGAGGAAGCCACTGTCCCACAACACAGAACAGCAGGATCTGCACAACCTCCTTCTGAGATAATCCAAGTTGATTTCAATTAGTAAAATAAGGATTTTTCTTCAGAAGAGGACTTCAGCCAGGGGTGTAATGTAGTGGACAAATACATGTTTATGCTAAGAGAGCAGTTGATGCTACAATGCCTTCAGAATACACCTACACATGAGAGCTCTGAACACAGTTTATGACATGGCAACACAGTGCATACATGCCACTGAAGACTAACAGACATAGGCCAGTGGACTGAGTTTGACAGCTTGGCACACACACTATCATATGCAGCCATTCATTTTTCTTGACCTTATCTTTATGAGGCTAATCACAGTGCTCTGTGGGAACATGTAGATAACCAGTCCTTCCTCATTCCTCCTTACTAGTTGAGGACACAAACTGCCATAGCAGATGAATTAGGACAGCTTCTACCATTGGCCTGGGACACACGATCTACATTTAACAAATGGACAATATTTGTAATTGAATTATTACAGTAAGTTTAAAGCAAGAGCACATGCTTCAAATGATATGAAAACATTTTGAATGGAAGAGTTCATAAATATAAATGAGTTCAAAGTAGAAATAGTGGATGTATCCATCAATACTAATGTTATTAAACTAATCTATATATAAACAGCTAAAAACAAACTACGTTAAGCTATTCCGGATCATTTAAAATGTCCATCTGCCAAGATAGTCGATGCAAAACAAAAAGCCAAGGTCAAAGCCTTAATAAAGCCACAGCCTGTCTATAGTGAAAGAGCATGTTATCACCAACGTTAAACTAAAAGGGCTTTTAGATATGTTTAAATTGGATAAACTGAGATAAATATTATGAAACATATAAATAGTAACTAGAAATGTCTCATGCAAATGTGTTTATCCGATACACACATACACTTGAAAAGCTACACAAAGGCTTAATCCTCATCCACTTAATGTGATTTCCTGCAAATTCTCCAAAGACCAGCAGCTCCAACAATAGGATGGGAGAAAGCCAGCGAGAACGGCAGAGACCAAAGTTCGCATAAACATGTCGAGAGCACTGTTGCTCCCACAAAGAGCGCTGGGGGCTGGCTGGTCAACAGGGGAGAAAACATTTCCCGTGAAAATTGCTCAACTCCCACTTCCGAGCAGCAAGAGCCACAAATGAAGCGATTACTGTCAGAAGTTGGAGCGGCTGCAGAGGAAAGACGTGAATGCTGCTGCTCAGGTAGCTGGAAGCCTAATGGCCGCATGAAAGGCTGCCTTTGAGGAAACCTATCTTGACCAAATCTCTGTCTTTTATGAAGCCAGGCTTGTATAACTACTATGTGAATTGATCGACTCCTCAACTCTCATGTAACCCCAAATTCCTTACCATCTGGGATGACTATGGGTACCTCTGGTGCTGCAGCAGCATCTGCCGAGCGTGACCCTGATTCACTTGAGCGCGAGGATGACTCCCTCTTTCCTGCATGCCTTCTGGAGCTCTTCCTGTCACACATTAGCCCAGCAAAGTCTCCCCTGTTCTTCTTCCTTGGCCTCCTCCTCAGAGTCACTGATTCATCATGACCCTTCCTTCCCCTCTGAGAGCACTGTGGTCAGATCAGCAGCACCCCCCCTCATCCACAGAAACCAAGTGTCCCAGCCAGTGGGGAGTCTTCAGTCTTTCCTGCGACTGTCACTTCACCAAAGTTCAGAAAGTATCCACAAACATAGCATGGAGACCAGCACTGCCTCCCCCTACACTCACACAGATCAATTGGACCCTTGCTTTGCTTTGTATCAATATTTATTCTGTACACAAAGTACTCCCTGCCGTTCCCTCCCATATCAGACACAACCATACACACAGAGGCTATATATTGATCAAAACAGGGGCATAATCATCAAAGGGAGGGGCGTAAAACACCAGCTGGCATATTTATCTGACCCAGAGAGGAAGTCCTATGGAAAACTAGGCCTAAGTGAAGACCATGAGATGAACTAGATACATCAATATTCTAGAAACTTATCCTAATTAACAGAACCAATTGGATGTCACAGATGGAAAGCTTTAGGAGTTGATCTGGATGTTTTCAAAAACATAAAAAAGAGACAAGCAAATGAAGAACGCTCCAACCACAGTGAAACTTTTTTTCCGTGCCAAAATGCACCAGAGAGTCTATGTAGTTCCAGTGCTCCATCGATCCTACAAAAATCAATGCTACATCTGTCCCCGGGGCCCCACAGGCCCACTCTGACGCAGGAACAGAGGGGTTATATTAGGGCGAACTGACCGACATTTAACTGTGAAGTGCGCCCAATCGGGTCCCAGACTACACCGGGCCTTGTTCGGAGAGCATACATCCCCATGTGGGACATAATAAATCAGTCAGAGGGAAAACAGGGATGCATGTAAACTAGAATGGTGTTTTGTGTGTGTCATGTGTGTGAAAGTGAGAAAAAATCGTTTTTATCGGCTCAATACTGACAGTAGATATTTGACATGTTAGCAAGCAGTTACTAGAATCACCACTAGGGATGCACGATAATTATCGGTCCGATATTAGGAATTATGACGTCATCCCGATAAACCCGATACCAGTATTAATAGCCCCGATAATATAAAATATATTTTTTGGGTAAAAAAAAAGAAAAAAATACTGCGGTGTGGGTGGATTGGGATGAGGGGCGCTTGTTTTTCACTCGGCTCCTCCCGTTTTGCCAGTAGTGTTGTATTAGTGGTTTAGGAAGAGGGGAGTTCTTCACAAATCCAGCGTTCCCTAACTCATGCCTGGCTGTGACGTAAATGGTGTGCGGCCGTGAAGCCAGGACAGTAAACAAACATGTCGTCGGTGGTATGGGCGTTGGAGCTATGTGCAACTCAAGGCATATGCTCGAACCGGAGCTGCCTGGACGCTGCAATCATGTTGCGCACTATCCGTGCTGAGTGTGCTGACTTTTCGTACAATGTCCCACTGTCTGGCTGCCTGCATAAAGTCAAGTGCTCGGCGCAGTTGTGGCGAAATGTCGCTCCTCTGTTTTTATTTAAACAGCTCCTTATATCCATTAGCGCAGCTAGCTAGCACCAGATGCTAACAACAACAATGCACGTAAGGTCTCTCTCTCGCTTGCTCGGACCACACATACACACACCCTCCCGGTCCTCCAGATGGCCAGTCGGTGCCTGCCGGTGAGCGTGGAAGTGTGGTCTGCCACAAGCGGGCGGCAGGAGCGGCTGTCAGCATCAGCTTGTAGATGGTATTTTAAACCCGATGCGCTCTGAAACTACGGGGCGGCCGAGGAAAAAAAATACACATGCGTTAATCACGTTAAAATAATTAGTGGCGTAAAAAAAAAAATGGTATTATCGGTTATCGGTATCGGTCTTGAGAAGCAGGAAGTTATCGGTATCGGTTTCAAAAAACCAATATCGTGCATCCCTAATCCCTAACTACATTAATTATCACCTCCAGTGTTTCCGCCAGACCAGGGCTGAGAGGGCGTCCACCCCGAGAGAGCGGGGGGGGGGGGGGGGGGGGCTGACGTCACGTTGTGTCACGTTACTTGAATTTTGAATTGAGCCTACCCTTACAGATAATATCTCTTTACGTTACTGATGGGAATTACGGCTCTTTTTAGTGAGCCGGATCATTTGGCTCGGTTCACTAATGGCGCATTTCCACTGCAGGGCCTCGCACGGCTTAGTACGGCCTTGGTAGTAGGGATGCCAGCAATTATTCGATTAATCGTTACAGTCTCCATAATCGAATATTATTTTTAAAAAACGATTTTATTTATATATTTTTTTTATTATTATTTATGTTTATTTTTTATGGCTTAGTTTCAACCAAAATATAGAATAATGCTAATAATAGTAATAGTATTAACAATTGTAAATGGCCATTGGTCACACCACCAGTTTGTTTTACTGTAAACTTGGAGGAAGCCTGAGTGCAGAGCAGACTGCTGCTGCAGCACGCCACACACCGCCCCCATAAGAAGAAGAGCCGACTATTTTTTACCACGGAGCCTCAGTTTCGCCGCTGCGAGGCTCCGGCGCTCGCAGTTCATGCGTGTGCTCCGCCGCTCATCGCATCAAAATCGCGCACGTTCCGTGTTGTCCTGTGGCAGGCACCGTGGGTCCAAGATACGAAAAACTGAAAAGAGGCCGATGTCGGGGAAACGATCTTCAATACTCCGAAAATAATCCCACCAGGCTCCTTTGCCCCTCCAACAGA